TAAAAATATAAATGCGAATGTATTGATACAGGACAGCGTATGCCAAGGGCAAGAAGGAGCGCCCTCCCTTTGTTCCACACGACCAGTCAACATCAGAGGATGATTCAGACGCTATCCCTTATGAACTCCTGTGTCCAATCTGCAATGAACTCATGCAAGACGCAGCAATTATACCCTGCTGCGGAAACAGTTACTGCAATGATTGTAAGTCCTTTCTCGTAACATGCATTAGTAATAGAAATCCATCTAAAATCTATGTTGCATTGTTTCAAACTCATTTGTGATGGTTGTCTTTGTGTTCCACTTTGTAATTGATATGTAAATATATATAGACTGGGCAGGTTGAAGGGAATTTATTGTCATCTGAAACATTTATTCTTATAATAGGAGTGTACAGACGGAGTGTGTGTTAATTTGTTGGTCAAATGGATTATAGCTTTGAACTAAGGACTGTTTGTTTTCAGGTATCAGGACTGCCTTATTAGATTCAGAGGAGCACATCTGCATCACATGCAAACAATCAGATGTTTCACCTGACAGTCTGAATGCCAACACATTTCTTCAACAGGTAACGCCTTTGAAACACATGCTTTTTGATTAATGTCATATTTGTTTGATCAGAAGTGTGAAGCAAATCTAAAATGTTTTTCTTCATGCAGGCTATTGATAAAATCAGCATGGGAATCGGATGGGTTTATAAACACAAGCAGACCAAACCTGCAGCACTACCTCCACCTAGCCCTCAGTTGTCCAGACCTGCTGMATCTCTATCACAGGTCCAGCCCCCTGCACCCACTCCTCTTGATCCTCCTGTTGCTGCGACTGCTACGCCTGCTGCTGCTGCTCCTACTCTTCCTCAGGCTGCTTCTGGTGAAGGTCCAGATGTTTCACCAGCTCCTTCACCTGTCCCCGACCAACATTCTCCTATGCACTCCACCACCCAGATCAAACCACCCCCACCTCGGTAAGTTTAGTCCCATATAGTTTGTACAATGTCTATGGAACTATAAAATGTTTGTATTCTAATATGTCGGCCTCTCAATGAGTGTTTCTCTCCCTCTGAATCAGGTCCTACAGAGGTAGAGGAGATCGCCCCCCCGCCCACCTCCATACAGCTCCACCTCCTGGACCTGCTCCTCAGGTGTACCCTCCTTCATCCCTGTACCCGCCCCCATTACAGCCCTACCCTCYTCCATGCCTGTACCCACCCCCACCAAAGCTCTACCCTCCTCCATCAGTGTACTCGCCCCCACGACAGCACTACCGTCGTCCCTACAATTCTGGCCTTAACCTTCCTCCTCCAACTGGTTACCCACCCCAGCCAATTTATGCACGTGAACCACCGGGGCTTAAACCTCTCTGGCTCTCCCCTGGTGTCCAGCCCCCTCTAGCCCACCTTGGACCCTCCTTCTCTCAGCCCCAMAGCTCTAAGGAAGATTTCTCCAGACAAAGGCACCAACAGGACAAGTGAGTAGTTTCTTTTTGATCTTGAGTCGTCCTACAGCTACAGCAGCTACAGATTTGGAATTGGTTTTAGTTACATTTAACTACAATTTACATAATTTACATTTGCGTAATCCTTCAAGCCATTCTGTCAATTTATTACATAATCTGCTTCTTTCTTTTTTGGTTTCCTGATCATCTTCTCCATTCTTTCCTTTCCCAGGTCCCGGTCAAAAAGTCGTTCTCCATTCAGCCGCTCTCCTTACACTCTCTCTAGATTAAGATCTAGATCCAGGTCTTACTCTTATTCCCCAAGTCGAGCCCGCTCCCGTTCACGCTCTCGTGGCCGGTCTTTTCCATGCTCCCCTCATTCCARWCACAATGAACGTAGTTACAGACGTTCACGGTCAAGGTCCCCTACCTGGTTTCGCCACTCTGGCTCTCCGCAGTGTCCTCCTCYCCTCCGGGCAGGACCCTGGGAGGGAGCAGAAGGAAAGGGACCCTTCAGGTCCCGGTCTCGCTCCCCTGGTGGCTTCCGAAGCCGCAGCCCTGGTGGACAAAGGCATCCTCCTCAGGAGCTGGCGTCTTATGAACTAAAGGGACCAAGTCCTGGAGGACATGATCGCTGGGACAGAGAAAGGTATCAACAGGTATTACCCAGAGATTACTCCCCTCAGGGTAGAGGAAGAAGAGGGAGAGAAGAGAGAGGTGCTCACCCTCACCATCCTCCATCCTCTTCATCATCAGGGACTAAGTCCAGCACATAAGACCTTAAAACAATGTATGGATGTATTGAGTGAGAGCGTGTCTTCGTACAGCAACTACAACACACAGTCAGCCAGCTGTGGTGTAATGTATGATTTTGTCTGTATCACCTCCTCTGCATCTACTATGTCTACTGTGCCTTTTCTTCACAGCTTCTCTTGTTTACAATAGTGGCTGTGTCATAACTAATAAAGACTTTTATTAATTAACACTTTGAATCTCATATCCTGAAGTGTAAAAACGACACTGTGCTGTTTTACAGGGCTGATATGCAGGAACATTTTGTGGCTGGGTGTAGAAACCACTTGGAGTTTCTGACTGTAGATCAAATTCTCCGCCATGCAGGCAGTGAAAAAATACTAAAGTATTCTTGGGGTCTGATTCAATCCTGGTTAAATTAATCTTGMATCTTTCACACAAAGTTATTTTCTAATGATTCAGATCAACTCAAATCTGATGTGCTAAACTTTCCTTCCAGTCAATTCAATTCAATTCAATTTTATTTATATAGCGCCAATTCATAATTTGGCACTTTACATTTAAAGGTCAAGACCTTAAAACACAGTCGTGTTTACAATCCCCTCAGTTTGAGAAGAACTGATTAAGGTCATGTCAATGATACTCATAATAAATGTGCTTTTACTGACTGTGCAAGTGTGCATTTATATATTTTTCAAGTGGCAACCTCTCAGTTCCAATGTGTTGGGTCAGAATGTGGAAAAAATTAATATATTATTAAATAATTGTATAATAATCTCCCGAGACATTTTGAATGGGTGCCATTTTGACGCCGCTCCGCATAGAGAGACACATTTTCAGCATTTAGAAAAGCTGCATTTTGATAACATGATCCAGGTTGGTAACACAGAGGGAGAGAGAGAAACTGTGGCAGTTTAAGAGGAAGGAGATAGACCCTGAGAGAGAGCGAGAGAGAGACGGTGAGAGACATTTCCAAAAGCTGTTTGATTTTATAATCATGCATGATCCAGGTCGGTGACAGAGAGACTTGACCAATTTCAGAGAGACAGAGAGAAACCATGTTGTACGGTTGTAAGGTCTTATCACCATCCATAGGATTTCATTTTAAAAATTCAGCCTCCTTCAGGCTTCCTGGAAACATCCCGCAACTATTTGGGTTTTTTATTTTGAAAATACACCCTTCTTCAGGCTTCCTGWCAACATCCTGTAATTATTGTCRTGTTGCTAACAAATAGCCTAAAAGGACAAAGCGGTCTGAGGCGACGTCTCATGTATGTTTACTGTCCCTGGAGTTTGGACACATAGACAGTGAGCGTGCGTTTGTCTGCTGAAGAAGCTGCATGAAGAACTGCGCCCGTAAAAAAAACGGAGAACAAGTGGGACCGGGAGGTTGTTATGAAAGGTCTGTAGGAAATATGCGAACAGAAAAGACGCTGARTGGAGGAAAATACYTAGAAATTGAAAATGGACAAACCAAAGGAACGGCACAGACTTCATCTGAGAAGTGAAAGTTAACGTGAGGTGCCATGAAACAGGACCTGTGACAGAACCAGGGATTAACACCGTGTTGTCTCCAGGATGGAAAACTACTGAGAGACAAAGAGTTTCTGACGCTGAAGTCTCCGGTTTTCTGTTGAACAGGTCATTTACCACATCAATATAAATTCTATCTGTTGATCGTTTTTTTGTATATTCAAACTGATGCTGTTATAGTAACATTTACATTGTTACAGATAGATTCATATTGTGAATTACTCCTGCCTAAGATCATTGTAGTACTTGTTGAGTCACCCTAGATTTAGAGTATKTTTAGACCAAATCAATTTAGAGTATTTATTTGGTTTTGTGAACTTCCCACCAACTCAGGATGTAAAATCATTTATGAACAATTGAACAATTGTAATGTTGTTTCTCTGTTTTATTGACAACAAGTTTCTTTCTTCCATTCTTATGTTATCTTCTCTCCTTTCTGGMTGCCATTTTACTATATCCATTAAAACAAAGTTTGAAATGCTAAGTCTTGTATTATTTATTTGTTTTCACAGCTTGCACCTGAAATTGATCACTCACATGCACAATGTTCAGAGTTGTTTACATGTATATCAGATACTGAAAGGTTGAAAACTGGGATTTCAGCTTCAGAAGACTACACAATTATTTTTTTAATTAAAAGATGCATTTTTATAAATATGCATAAAAGATGCACTCTGTATTTGCTTTGACATCATTCTTGTGGAATACAAACCCTGTGCAATACTAATATTAGCATTGCTTTTGTTAAACTAGATATAAATGTCAAACATTATATTAATAAGTATTGAAACTGTTTTCAACAGGGCTGATCCAGACGGGAGGTCACTAGTGCACTTTTCATTATAGTGCAAACTCAATTGAACAATTAAAAAGATACAACAGAAGTAATAATAACCATAATTATATCCTTATACACCTATATGCCGGTGTGTGAATACTTGCGGTACTGTATGAAGCCTTCAGAGGGACAAATACAGCAGCTGGGGATGACAAGATGGGTTCCCTGGCCTAAAGAGCCATGTTGACAATAAATAAAATGTTGATATGCTGCGGTAACAGTGTTGTCATCCCCATGCTCTCTAAAGTGGTCTAACACCGTAACATCCTCCTGGTACTGCCTGTGAATATGTAAAAAAACTTCTATCAATCAAATTTAAATCAATCAAATGTATTTATACAGCACGGGATCACAACAAACAGTTGTCTCAGGGTGCTGCACAAAAGTCCAAGATCTTATGAAAGACAAAATCCAACTTGTTCCACACCGAGCAAGCATGAGCAACAGCGGGGAGGAAAAACTCCCAGGTGGAAGAAAAACTCCGGCAGAACCGGGCTCGGTGTGGGCGGCCTCTGCCAGGACCGGTTGGGGTGAGTGGAGAAAGAACAAATAATATAGGGGATCAAAAGGAAATAAAGGGGGGGTTGCGTGACCCTCCATGTCAGTCCTGCGACAGACCGGAGACCTCCACCAGGTCCATCCCTCATCAGGACAGGTTCCGGAGAGCCACACAGTATGGACCAAGGAGGGGAGGAGAAGACCCAAGGAGTTAGAGATATGTAATAAGATACAACAAAATAAACCAGGCAGAGAGAGAAGAAGAAAGAAGGTGCTGTTTTCTGGTGCCTGATGGGTGATCTCCCAGCAGTCTAGGTCTATAGCAGCATAACTATGGATGACTATGGCTCAGGGTTGAGGTTTTAAGTCTAGCCTTAAATGTAGAGACCGTATCTGCCTCCCTCACAGAGTGGGAGCTGGTTCCACGGGAGAGGATCTTGGTGACTGCTTTTATTTTGAAGTACATCCCGCGCGACGTCCGGCTGGGAATGCCACAGCTGTTGCTATGGATGTGTTGGTGTCGTGACCTGGTTGCTACAGGCAGAGACGGACAGCGGCGCTCGGCTCATGGACTTACTCGAGAAACACCAGGACATGTAAGTGCAGCAGCTTCGGTGCGAAGTGTCCGAATTAGAATTAGCTGACCTAGCTTACCTTAGCTTCCCGTTCAGCGACCGCTTAGCCTGCTGTTAGCCCCGGGGCTGCTACATCTGGTGAACAAACAAGAGAGCACGTCAGACCTGAACAAGACAAACACCCTGTTCATGTGAATAACCCGGAGCCTCCGTTTGAATCGGACCCTCTTAGGCTTACACGTGATGATAATGTACATGCATCTGTAAATAGCAATAGCAGCAGTCCACTGAACAGTGTGAGCTGTAGAACAATGTCTGCCAGTGCATTACCTACACGTGTAGTCCACCACAGCACTTGATTGGTGAGACTTAAACACGAGGATTGTATTATACAGTACGCTGAAGTCCAGATCAAACGTATACCACAAAAATGTATATATGAAGGATTGTAACCTGATAGTCTGACCCAGTGATGAAATAAATACATAAACATATATAAATCCCTCCACGCCCTATTACATCAAGCCTTTGTCAACACTCCACCCTGCCATTACTGCAGTTTATTTCTGTCCTGTGTGTGCAAACTCTTTCTTTTCTTTTGCACCCATGGACATATGTGAAGCATCCTTGGGTCTCTTGAAAGGCACAATATAAATCAAGCTATTATTATTATTATGAACTTTACCATAGATGTTTAAGACAAATTAATAAACCACCCTTCTTACATTTATTTTAATTATCTGATATACAAAAGCAGAAAAAGTTAAATTCATTGTTGGATGCCAGTCGCCCCCATCCTGCTTCTTGAAGTGCCCTTGGGCAAGATACTGAACCCTAGTTTATGATGTGCCTGCAATGTATGAATGTGTGTGTGTGTGTGTGTGTGTGTGTGTGTGGATGGCAAGACTGTACTATGGAGAGCTTTGAGTGGTCATCAATACTGGAAAAGATCTATATAAAAACAGACCATTTACCAAATTAGCATTTCTGTATTATTCTTTTTTCTTTATAGTTTCTGAAAGAAGACTTCAAATACCAACAAGTGCTCAGATGAATAATTTTGCTGCTCCATGTTTTCCACATGTCCACCACAGTTTAAGAACAGAGCGTCTATCAAACAGGGAGAGTTAATAATGATTACAAGATAATTGTAAATGAAACCTAAAACTGTTGTTGTCTTTTATTAGAAACAAGAATCCACACATTGTCAAATATTCCTTATGATTTTTATTTCAACATGCCAGTCAGATATAGCTCATAATTGAATCCTTCTATTCTCACCTCTGTGCTTCAGCTGCAGAAACAATATGACATCATTTATGTATCATTTATGTATTTCATATTCACAATGGTTTGTTCATCATCAGACAAGAAAGAGAATACTTCAAAGACTTTTATGATATTTCTTATTCAAACTATATTCTTATCTTAACTTTTATTATTATTTCCATACAATCTGTTAATCGAGTAAAACAGACAAAAATGTGACCAAATATGTGACGGTGGATTTGAATTTAGAAAGGGTTGAGCAGAACACTGGCCAGATCTTTCCTTTAGATGTTGAAAGGTGCTTTATCATAATAGACACATGAATCCCCCTAGAAAACAATGGAGGGAACGTGAATCATCCCAATTATTCTGATAAGTCACTGAATATACATGGAATTTAAAATTGTCTTGCTGCAGTACAGCTGTAGTGTGGGACATAATGTCTCCCAGTGAGCTGTTATTCAACTAAGTAGTCTTTGACAGTGAGATGGATGAGTCCTGATGTCAGTCCTCATGTATTTAAAACACCTCCCACGATAATGGAGGAGGCAGAGATAACACCAGTTCCCTTAGTACATTTTATAAGCTGACAAAATATTAAATTAAAGTAAGAGGAAATGGAAATGTCAATATTAGATCATTACAACAGTAAGTCAACCATTAATGCGTAGAGATGGTATATGGATGCTTGAAAGGGATTCTGAGGAAAGAGTGAACAAGGCTGGTGATAAAGGATGTCCGTCTGAATGATGGCAGTTAGAGGCTCAGAGTTTATGAACATAGACCTGAACCTGAAGTGTTCCATAACTACCTATAAGTAACCCCACTCTGTGGATACTGCTTCAAAGGAAAACATGCACCAGGTTTCTTCTACCCATAATTCCACCAGCGTGAACAGTAATAAAACAAAATCAGTTTGTGTGTTTTCTTTTGCTCATGCTCATCAGACATGCACTCTACTTTTGAAAAACTCACCGGCCAGTTTGACAAGGGCCGCTGTTCATACTGGAGGTGCTATGAGCTTAATATGGATTATTGCTGTGTGTGTTATCAGTTTAGCTAAAAGAGCAGAGCTGCTGGAGGAGATGGGGAGTCGCAGGGAGCAGCTAAACATCCTGAGGAGGCAACAGGTAAAGGAGTGTGAGGCCGCTCGCCACAGGAATGCCACATTACTGCAGGTGAGGACCCCTCACAGCTGTGGTCCACCCTCTCACCTTTCCTCTCTTTGTCTGTCATTTACTGACCTCTCCTTCACTTACCTGCCAGGTATTTGTAGCTGGAGCTGAAGTCAAGATTTATTAAAGGTACAGTGTGTAGAATTTAGTGATATCTAGTGATGAAGTGGCATGTTGCAGCTGAATGCCCCTCACCTCATCCTCCCCTTCTAAACATGAAAGAGAACTTGGATTTGGGCTACTGTAAAAAAAAAACATGGCTGCCTCCATAGAGAGAACCCCCTCCTTGTGTTTAATTTCTGCCAATAGATCCCTTTCACCTAAATCTTACACACTGAACCTTTAATTTCTTGTGCAACAATGTGGAGGATTCCAGCTGTTTTCTGTCTCTGACTTTAAACTGATCACACAAGACATTTTAACACATCATATTGACAATTAATCAAAAGCAGTGTGATGTAGTAGCTGTTGGGCAGCCGACACGTGAATCACTCTTGTGTCGGAGTGAAAACTGCTGTTTCAAATGTGTCTGTGTGAGTTTGTAGAGGCAGCCTTAGGAGAAGAAGAGGGACATGTAGAAAAGAGGAGTGATTATAGTGTCTGTATTCATCCAAATACATTTTCATTAAGTTTCCAGAACTTTGCTGTCAGTTCACATCCTTTTGATAGACATTCTAAACATTCAGATAAGGATTGAGTTTAATTGTGGCCAAGTTATGCACGGCGACGAGTGTAACAAACAACATGTTCCCCCTGTCCCTGCAGGACTTACAGAAGATAGAGGATGGTCTTAAAGGGGGAAAGCTGCCACACCCACATCTCCTGGCTCTGGAGGTAACATGTTTTTTACAGCGACAGTACACAACTGTGTGAAGCGTCTGACTGTGTCTTCTATCACAAGTTCACATTTCAGGTCATTTTTTCTTAATCTGTAAACTGTTAATACACTAGCTCCTTGTCATGTAAACAAGAAACATTTACATGTGGAGGAGAAGCTCCAAACTCTGAGATTGTGGGCATCTTACACTGACTCTGAATGTACCAATAATCTGGAAACAGGGAAAGATTGAAATGTAGTGGGTGTGTTAGCATTGGGATAAAAAGACAACATTTTATACTTTATATGCAGCCAGTCCTCACCAATATGACACTACACTGTTGCACGGTGTGCTCTGTCCTTAAAGGCAAAGATAGGGGAAGTTTGATACAATGGTTGATCAGTCCACACCACTAACACACCCAGTAAATCTCAGTCTCTTGATTTCTCCTTGTTTCCAGATGCACCAGAAGTATCCTGTTGCCAGTTTGCCAAATGCACACCGTCACACTTTGCTCACTGGACATTTAACTGTGCTGGGCACAGTGCGCTGTGGTGCACAGGGATAAGACCCAAACATTTCCACAGTGTGGCCTCAACCAAAGTCAGTGTATAAAGTGTGTTTCAAACTAAAACCCATTATAGAGGCTACATCATGTGAGTGAGTGAAACGTTTCATCTCTCATCGAAGCGGCTTCTCCAGTTCAGTTTGCCGTCCAAAGATTGCTGACATGTCAGAGAATTAACGGAGCGTCCGACGGTTGGTTGGGAGCAATAAATTACTGCCTGCTCCCCCCTGTACACTGCACAGCAAACCATGCAAGACCAAACTGAAAAACGTACCAATCTAAAAAGAGTGGTACGACTCGGAAATCGGGCCGGAAAAAGGGATATTTTTCCCTAAAAAATGAAAATTCACACATCTACTCACCACTATGACAAGTGAAGTGAAGTGTTTGAGTCCACAAAACACTTCTGGAGGTTCAGAAGTAAACTTTGTAGCAGCCAAATCCGATACAATTGAAGTAACTGGTGACCGAGACTTCAGACGTAATTAGCAGTTCAATATTTGACTTCTAAAGAATAAATCATTTGCCCCACTAACTAAGGATTACACTTGAATATAATATTTCTCTTTCAGGAATAATTTTTTTCAGGTCCAGTTCTGCATTCAGACCTGATTGAAAATGGAGTCAGATATGGTGTTTTGTAATTTGTGACCAACCACAGGGCTCATTTTGATCCTTTCTTTCAGACAAGGTATTGGGTGTCTGTGGAAGAGTCCATCCCAGCCTGGGAGCACTTCCTTCTGGGTAAAGGTCCACACCCAATTGATGGTCCAGGACAGACAGCAAGGAGAAACAAACAGAACCCCAGCATAGCTCAAGACCAAGGCCTTCCTCCGCGGCCAAAACCACGGGCTGCCAGATAGGTGATTATGAAGGTGCTACTGCAGCCTGAAGTATCAATGTTATAGTTACATGATGCAAATGAGCCCAAGTCAGATGACTCTCATACCCTGTTCAGAGCCGAATTCCATTTTTCTGCTGACCAATGGGTTTCTATGGTGAATCAGGGCATCAAGCGATGAGAAGAAGCACAACTTTCTGACACCAACAGCAAGGTGCTTGTTAGTGAGGTGGAGGTGAAGTTCGACAGATTGTTTGGTAGCCACAGCAGTGATGTAATTAATAGAAGAACATGCACGGAGTGATAAAGCGTTGCTGCTGCGGTTATTGAGAGAGAGAGAGAGTGAGTACAAATCAGAGGACAGTGCCTGAAGTAAAGAAAGTGGTCACATTTAAAGATGAAGGCAATAAATGATTGTTGTTTTCTCATCGTCAGAAGGTGAGTGAACTTGATTAATCCCCTGTACGTATTTGAATCATCCAAAAGTGCAGGATTATTAAATTCAGAGACAGCTGCAATATTCCCAATCTATGAATTTAGCAGAATCGGTTCAGTTCCATCAGGTCAGTCTGTCTAATACTGGACTCAGTTCAGCACAAAGATCCAGGTTCACAGCGCTGTAGATTATAATTTATATCAGATGATGAGTTTTGTTTCCTACTTATCCTTATGTATGCATAGTCCTCTATCATTACATGTGTATCCATCACGCAGCATTATTTATTTTTACAGCAATGGGACAGATTACTTCACACATCAGGTGTTCCTGACCTCCACTCTGAGACATCATTTGGAAATTGAAGTTTAAAGGTGAACACAGTTTATTTATTTCATGTAAGTTGTGTCTGCCTGACAGCACAGTCATATTCACTGCACCATTTTACACACACATAGGCTCTATATGAATACTACAGTCATACTTTGTGATACAGGTGCAGTGTTATAGAAATATATTATTAAAAACCATCAATCACTCTCTTCTGTAACTGTTATTTTATGCTATTTTACCTTGATTTGCTTCAAGTTGTTTTACATATTTTTCAATTGAAGGTTCTTATGGAACAAATGTCGCAGAAGCACAAATGACACTATTCGTATTAATGATGGAAGTGGATCAATAATCTGGCTTCATTTCACCTCCTCACCTCTGCATTGCCACTTTCTTATGCATGTTTTCTCCTGATCTGGGTCCTTTTGAGATTATGGTTGCAATGCTGTGTAAATCCCACTAGAGAGAGCCAGCGTTCCAGACAAAAGAAGGAAAAGCTTTTCATCGTCAGAGGTAAACCTTCATAAACTGTTCAGTCTGTCTGTTACATTAAATGACTTCTATGCATATTTATATATGATTTTGTAGATTTTATGGATATAGATTGTTATTTTAACAACATTGGCACAATCTTACTGGTGAAAAATATCAAAATGTGTATTGAGATATCCAATAAACAACTTGGGGCTCTGCATATTCTTTCATTTCTTTCATTTTTCATTTGACATCATTATTCATGTTGTAGATAAATCAATCAATCAATCAAAATGTTATTTGTATAGTCCATATTCTCAAATCACGATTTGTCTCTTAGGGCTTTAACAAGGTGTGACATCCTCTGCCCTTGACTCTCAACAAGAGTAAGGAAAAACTACTAAAAAATCACTTGTCGATGATAATCTAAATCACCAGTGATGTGGGGTCTGTGTGTATCACCTCTTTATGTTTTTAGTTGTCCATCAGGTGTCCATGAGAGTTTCATAAACTGGTGAAGTTAAAAAAAGGGTTCTTGAGTGGTCTAATTGAAATCATTAATGTAATAAGAACAAAGATGGTAAAGCTTGTTATTGCAGATATCAGCAACACTACCAGTGAACTATGTGATGATATAATCAACAGATTTGTACATTTGTTACAGTTTTTGTACTTTCAATAAACACTAGTGCATTCAAAAAGTTTGGCTAAGTTGTTGTGTATAGCGTAAGATGAAATGAGATATTGCTCTGGTTAATGCTCTGTCTGTGTGCCGCTCCAGCTGTGCACACTGCACTCTGTGCTTTTGGACGCTTTGGCTTTGTCAGCTGCTGTTTTCCATATGAGCCTATGCAGTATGACTGCTTCCATTCACTGGGTTACAGGGGGTCACAACAACAATACGTCCTGCATTTGATCTGGCTGATATAGCTGAAGTTGTGTGAGGATGTACAGAGCAGAGCCATGGGCTGCAGTGACAGAGAAATAATGAGAGGAACATCGCTCTGACTGTCACCAGAGACCAGAGTGGGGGTCTTCATCCACTGCCAGGGTGCACGGAGAGATGGTACCCCCTCACTTTAACCCCTAATTGTCGGTGATCAGACCCGCGCGGGGCTGACGCGGAGTGGCGGCTTGACAAACGCAATCATCCGGACGGCCGGGGTTGAAGTGGCTGGTGGTTGGCAGCTGCCCAGGCTCCTCAGCTGGGGCCCCAGTGTTGAAGGCCCTCAGGGGGTCGGCTAGCTACCGGCCACCACTGACTGACTGGACCAGACTGGACTGATAGGGGTTGGGTGGTGGGGTGTTGGTTTGGAGAAGGAGTGGGATCGGGGGGCAAGTGCTGTGAGGTCAAGGGCAGGATTTAAAGAAGAAAGGGATGGGGGAGGCATTAGGGCTGTGTGTCCAATTGCGGGTGACAGCATCGTGTGGTGGGAGGCTGAGTGGGGGTGATGAAGATGCAATGTAGCGAATTATCTAAAAGGGTTTTGAAGAGCACGATCTGGAGCCCTTCCAATTGACTAGCCCTACATTATGTATTCTAATGGCCGACGCCCCGGGGTGCTGGAGCCTGAATCACCACTGTTGTCAGTGACCAGACCTCGATTCACTCTGCCAGCCTCTGATAACAACAATGACCCCTCAGACAGCAGCCTGGCTCTCCTCCAGCCCTCCTCAGTCTCCGGTGGCGTGGCATGAATTTGCAGCCATAAGATTATGCAATGTGGTTCGGCTATTGAGAGCCCACTGAGAGCCCTGATGGATAATTGGCTGAGCCCAAAGCCGTGCAAATGGTTAAGTGTCGACTCCAGTTGATTGGATAATGGGTAATTGCACGCTGCATTTCATTCAGTGATATGCTGTGGGTGTAGCAGGGGCAAGCGAAGGGGAGGGAAAGAATGGAGGAGGGAAAATATTTTGGCATGCTGTGTTTTTGCAGCCTGTTATTTCACACTTTGAGTCTGTTGCACTTGTTTGGATCACAGGTTTGAATCAACTGCGGATGCAATTTAAATTGCAAATGACATAATTTCATTGTTGAGGATTTCCATTTTTTTCATGTTCTCACTTCAGTTTTTGAATTCACATTTCACAGATCAGAGCGGCTGCTGAGCCCTGTGCCTGGTGGCGCTGTTTGAGGCTTCCCTCTGACCCTGTGCGAGCCTGTAAGTCCAGAGTTTCTCCTTTGATCATGGCATGTCACCTCCACTTAACAGCCAGACTGCCAGCTCTTTGTCTTTTCCTTCGCTGAGGCCTTGACTGTTGTCATGTTGTCTCACATTAAAGAGAAGGCTTCATGTCATACACTAAGAGGAAGCAACATTGGCCTTAAGGTAGCCTGGCACAGCTCCTCATTGACTGCAGTGTAACATTTTCTCTTTTACAGCCCCTTACTTCACTGTGTAACTGTAATCACATACCTCTCACCTCTTGTAAAGCTCCTTCCAAAAGAAAAGGTTTTTTCTTTTTCTTTTTTTTACTGAGAAGCCCAGTGGGGGGATTGTTCCTGCTGAATTCCTCTTCAGTCACTGTATTGATTGTGCTTCCATGGACTTGGTTCTGCCGTCACCTGGTAAAGTCAGAAAATGTGGTGCTATTTGTATCAACTGATGGATTAAGTGGGCAGCTGAAAGGACACGTATGAATTTTGTGTTTGTGTACTTGTGCCTTTTGTTGATATTGATTTTGCCTTGGCTTGGATCCACAAACCGCAGCAGCATGTTGTGTTTCAATCTTAATTAAGTCCTTTATAGCACTTTAATGTGTTTACTGTCACACAGACCAGACAAAGCAAACATTTAAATTAGTTTCTTACTGAAGAGAAAGCAAACATTCTGTTCAGGCAGTTCTGCTGCAGTGCAGTGTAAAATAAAATCTTACATTTTCAATAGAGAGGGACTTCTCTCATCAGTCTGATACATGCGTAAATACTTCATAGTAGTGTACAGTGATGCAGTGATTAACAGTGTTGGGACAGACTGTATGAGCAACGTTTTACTTCCATTGTAGAGGGTAAGAATGTCATGAGTGTGTTCAGCTGCTGGTTGAGTCAAACCATAACCAATTAAGATGCATCTTAATTGGTCCAAACTGCAATGAAAAATCCCAAATCATCTATAAAGGCATGCTCATGAAAAGGGTTGGATTTTCTCAAAAAATGTGAAAATTACAGATCTAGAGTTTATATATCTATAGTATAGATGTATTACGGGATGGGGCAGTTTGTGTGCAGTCTTCCCCATTCCATATGCTGAAGTGTCCTTGGGCAAGATACTGAACCCCAAATGTTACCCCTTCTCGAAAGTGCTGCACAGATCCACTGTAAGAATGTGTGCGTTAAAAACCTAAAGCCCTTTGAGTGGTCATCAAGACTAGAAAAGCTCTATATGAATACAGACCATTTAACATTTATCATTAGTGTTGTTTCTTGTCCTCAAAGTTACATTTAGCAAAGTAATGTATCTACAACAGCTCAAAAACACACCTAGATGAAACCTTGGATCCACAAGTCAGCAAGTTTAATTGTCCTAACTTTAATGAATTAGTTAGATGACTTCAGTCATGTTCTAGTCCTGCTTTAGTAGCCAGCATAATTTGCTTCAGTTTCAAGGAAAGGCAAGGTTTTTCCAGCTTGCATCACATAGATTTTTAAATTCTTTATGAGCGGGTCTTTAATTGTGTGAGCCAACAGAGTGGCTCACCATCAACAAAGAGGCCTAAAGTGAAGGAGGAGAGGACGATTCCCAGCAAGGCCAGGTCAGGTCAAAAGGATTAACTGTAGCACCGGACATCCCCAAATCAACTGATCCTACCCAACAATGACTCACTAATGCCACTAGAAAAGGGCTGAGCGCAGCCAGAGCGTGATAGAGAAAATGGCTCATTGGTTTGCAGCATCAGAGGATCGGATTAATTTGCCTGAAATTAGCTGGACAAAGATTAACGTATTTGAATAGACTGTGTTATGTGTGTTCATTTGTCTTGTCTGCAATGACGTTGGAATCGTTTAAAAAGTTGTGGCTCCCATTTTAAAAAAAAGGTCAACAAAGGGTTACCTCCAATTATCAGTGCAACACACTGCTCAACCTTCCTGGGAACCTTTATGGCAGAATGGAGATGGAGACTAATTGTCCAAACCTCGTAGAAATAGTTGAATGATGAACCAGCTTATCACCCTGACAAGGTTATAAAATAGACGTTTGCCCATCCAAACAATGGTTTTGGTGGACATGGAGAGGGCTTACAAACGTGTCCCTCAGGGAGCCTTGTACAAATCATCTGGTCTAAAACCAGACTGAGAGCTGTGTACATGTTCTTGGCCAGAAGTCTTTTATTGGGTGTTGGGCTCCACTTTAGTTGTGCGTCTCTTTTCTTTGCAGACAATGTGGTTTTGTCACTTTCGTCAGACCAAGACAATGCTGAAGAGTGAGCTGATGCAGATAACTGGACATCTGACCACGATGCCTCATAGGCAACTACCTTTGTAGGTCTGGGGAAGAGTTTTATTTCTCATGTGTAAGATAACACAGGGTGAATGATGTAATGAAAAATGCTGGACGAGAAGGACAAGTTAGCTCTATAGAAAAATAAGAGCAATGACGTGGAAAATCTAAAGTGCGAAACCAAAAAAATATGGTGCTTAACATAAATCTAATCAAAAATAAATTACAATACTGTAAAAGCATGTGGATGAAAGTGTAAAACCAAAGTGACAAGTGGACAGAAGTTATTGCACATTTTTCAATGGTAAAGTAAAAAACATGTGCAAAGAAGGCAGGTGACCGATTTGCAGAGCAAAATGTGTACATGAATTAAGATGCCTGATGTCCTGGTAGTAAAAACTGTTCTTAAGTCTGGTGGTATGTGCAGTCCTGCTCTTGTACTGTCTGCCAGACAGTAACAAAGAACAGCTGCTTGCTGGACGGCTGTGGCCCTTAATGATGCTGTATGCCAGTCATCGCTGGTGGTAGAATTTTGAATGCCCAGGGGTCGGTTTCCTGTGATATCCTGAATGACTGGGAGTTCCTACCACTCTTACTTGCTGTATGCAGAACCGTTTTCATACCAGACTGCAGTCTATCCCGCCAGCAAGCTCTCAATGGTGCACCTGTAGAAGTTTGTGACAATGCTGGTGTTCATACCAAATTTTTCTCTGTCTCCTCAGAAAAAAGAGCCACTGACGAGCTTTTTTGCCTGTGTTGTCTGTGTTTTTGAAGTATCCAGGAGAGGTCTTCAGTGATGTCATCACAATCAGCATCACAGATATAGATGGGGTAGTAATGAAGCCTATGATGGTTGTGCCCTCAGAAAACTTGATGATGATGTTGAAGCTTACTTGGCAGAAGAGTTGTGAGTGAACAGGGAGAACAAGGGGGCCTGAGAACATAGCCCTGAGGTGCACCCTTGCTGAGGATGAGCAGGGAAGAGGTGTGGCTGCCAATTCTGGTAAATAAGATGTCATCATCTGTGGCCCTATTCGGTCTGTCAAAATGAAGAAGGTCCAAGGTGTAAGGAAGGAGGGAGCAGATTTTCGTTTGAATAATCAGTCAAAGCACTAGTGGGGCCTCTCAGAGTCTGGAACTATGATGGATACCTTGAAGGGGTGTGGACCATGGATGACTCAATGAGAGGTTGAGGATGTTGGTGAATAGCTCTGCCAGTTAATCGACACACCCTGAGAGCACAGCTTGGGATGCCATCCGTCCTGGGTACTTAGCTGCTGTTGACCCTTTTGACAGACAATTTTATGTTGGCAGTTTCTATGGTTAATCTAACAACCTCCCTGTCCACACATAGATGTTTGGCAAGCATGAAACCACCATCATCATCACTGTCCTAGAGAATGTTGCTATAGAGAAGGAAAGCAGCAGAAAATTGATAGTTTGGTATTTTGGGTGTATTTATATAGCACTTTTCTTTTCTTATTGACCACTCAATAACACACATTCATACAGCCCTACTATATATTGTGTTTTTTTTTAATCGCACACCATTCACACATTGTAGTTTACTAGAACATTTATTATGGCCCATATACAACTTCTGTGCACTAAACACAGGCTAATCTCTACAGATTGATCATTTCTGATGACGTCTTAAAGGCAGAAACTGTAATTACACCGGTCACCTGCCCACCATGGTACTGTTGAAAAAAAAAACTTTTTTATAATGTCTACAGGCTAATTGCACTGCACATGCTAATGATGCTTGCCGCTGAATAGGTCTACTAAGGGTGAACTCTGGGCTACGAAAGTGAGCTGCAGCCCTGAAAAAAAGTAGAAAGAACACTCATATTTACTCACATAGTGCTTTAACATTAAGCACCAACTCAGACTGCTACTAGTCCCGCTTGTTAGGTTCAGCATAATAATGTTCAATTGTTATAATGTCAGTATAGCTCATAGTTCAGTGTCTTTTAATATGCTTTAAGTTAAAAGCAAATAACTGCATGTAACAGCTGAGCTATAAACATTCAGTCACCGGTGAGGAACTCCACTTCTAAAAGCTACTGGTTCAGTCAGTGACAATAATTATTAAAGATTGTCAGTTCAGAGTTTATGAAAGATTCATTTGGAAATGCGTGCATGTCTTTTCTACTTTCACACATCTTGAGTGTAATGTCACCATGTTCAGTTCAGTTCCTGTGTGTTGTTTGTACCCTTTCAAGCTTGTCTCCTCAGCTCAGCTCAGTCCATAGTGCATCGCATGGGAAATGTGACTTGCAGCATGTCAAAAACAAGCACAGAAAAGGAAATAAGATAGTAAGAAAGGGATTGTCTTGCTGGCACGATGAATGGGACAGATTATTTACTCTTAGGACACATGTTTAGAGAATGTATCGCATGTATTATAGCTATGTTTAGCCATGAAGGCCTTCTCTATAAATCTACAGAGCTATTCTACATGTGTTTTGATGAACACTGAATTCCTTACCAACTCTGGAATTGTGCAATATGCAAATATAGCTCTATAGGAGATAGAAAAATACCAGCAAATTATAATTTTTCAAAATTAGATCTCACAAAAAAATTTTATTAATAAAAAGAAATTAGAAACAGCAGATGGGGTTATGCCTGCACCCCCCACCCCCCCACCCACAACTCCCAACCTCAAGCTACAGACCAGGCAGACGGAGGGATGGAGGGATGGAGGTCAGAGAGTGGAGTTTGACAACAGATCAGCGATGAGATCTCCCTCCCTGCTCAATTCCCAGCAGCCCATCACTTACCCTCCCAGTCACAAAGCACCTTCTCCTGGCCCATTGTGCCCTTGATATGCCAAGGCAGACGGGCAAGCATGCAGGGACAAGCTGCTCACCGCTGTCTTTAAGACATTCTGATGAGGTTTTCTGTGGTGAAAGATTGAGCGTTGACTTTCTAAAAGAATCTCAATGAGGTGCAAGTGAATGCTGCGGCTGTTCCATTTTAATCTGTGTGTTCGGCTGCTTCTTGAGTGGCTAATTTCCATGCATCACACCCTGAATACCGGAGTGCCTGACACATTCTGATTATACTTTTAAACTAAATTGAGGCTTATGACGACATTTTCTTCAATAAGCATGATGCCAAACTTGCCCTTTACAAGCTAAATGTGTTTTTCAACAGAACATCTCAACATTTTAAAATTCTATTGTTGCCCATTCTATCCTCTGTCCTTTCTTTTGAATCAGGAACACAGCCAAGGAGTGAAGAGAAGCCACTGCTCATTAACCCCTCGGTACTTTACAATGAATCCTGAAGGCTCAATGTGCCAAATGGCCAGTTCTTTAATGGATAGAGAGGTGGGTGGTGTGTGGGAGATTTGGCTAACTTACACAATGACATATGCATTGTTTAACTACATTAGTTTTTCATTGGTATTTTGAGTTTTCCTGATTCTTCTTTTATTTTATGCTTTAACATACTGTAGGTGCACACAAACAAAATGTCCTTCTGGGCCCTTTGTTTGTTCTGTTTGTGAATTTACTGAACAGACTCTCTCTGCCTGTTCTTTTTTCTTTTCTTCATCTGTTGTTTTGTATCTTGCCATTTCCCTGGCATATTATCATTTACACGACTAATGATAATAAAGTTGTGCTGAGCAGCTTGAGTCACGTACTTTCGCTTTTACATTCAGTTGATTCTCACACTGAGGATTCTAGTAAATAAAAAGCCTGTGTTGCTGTGATCCTAATGGCTGCAGGTTATCACATGTTGTGGGAACGTTGTCGGGTGCTGGTTGCTGTGACACAAACTGTCACCCCTCCACCCTCTTGTAAAGAAAGAAGCAGCCAGCGCGGGGACATTTTAATTGGAGTTTCATGTGGGCTAAACTGAGGGGAAACTGATGTAAGTTAACATTTGGTCGACTTAATTGGTCCTTTTCTCTCCCTCCTCCTCGATCGGGCACTTAACGCGCCGCTGCCGAGGCTTCGCGCTAATCTCCCATTTACAATCAATTCAGTCCGCCAGACAAAAAGTCCGCCTCTCCTATTCTTCCCTTCCCGTCTCAAACGAGCTCCTTTGTGGGCCCGTAAATTGCTTGAATCCCCGGTGATCCCCCCGGTGGCGCACGGAGATGTCCTCATGTTGTTGACGGCTGATTGGCGCGCGCGCTCCCGCGTTCGCGCGTCTCCATCGCGGCCTCCTGCCTCTAATCTCCCCCGCGTGGCCGCGCCTTAATTAAAGCTCCAGTTCGTCAATGAACGTGTTTGTGGATGTGGAGGCGGTTGCTCAGATGCTGGAGGTGTGTGTGTGTGTGTGTGTGTGTGTGTGTGTGTGTGTGTGTGTGTGTGGGTTGGGGGGGAGTTGAAGTGCAGAGAAAAGGACAACCTGCTCGCCTTTAGGTTGTTTACTGCTCCGACATTGTTGTTGTTCATGTCCCGCAGCCTGTGTGTGTGTGTGTGTGTGTGTGTGTGTGTGTGCGTTCGTGCGTGTGTGTTGTATGCGTGTCACCACACCCATTGTTGGATAACAGCAGAATTTACTGGCTGCTGATGTGGAACACCATCTCTCCATCCTTGTGCTCAGCTGCAGATGCTGCTGCAGAAACAGAGAACGTGCAGTTTGTGGATTCTCTGCCATGCACAGAGGAATGTATGAAGACGATCAGACCTGTACAGCAGCTCATGTGAGTGAATGTGCGGATTTACCTCACTGAGACAATCTTCTCAATTTCATGTTGTGATTTTACATTGTCAGGGTCATTTTCCTGGCTCCCCTCTATTACCAGGAGATGTTTTTTCTTCGTCACTTATGCAAGTTCTCGGATGGTGTTGGCAATTGACTTGTTGTCTTCACCACTGACACTTTTAGGATTTAACAGTTAAATTATACACAAATACAATTAACTTGTGAATTGCAAAATGAGATTTTTTAAACAAATGCATACAACTTTATGAAACTTTGTAACAAAGCAAAGAGAAAATCCAGTTTGGAATCAATTTCCGACCTTTTTTTGTACCAAGAGGTTGTGAGGCTCCGCGAACAACAGGATATACATTTTTTTCACAGTGTCCAGCATTTTTACTTTATTGAACGCCCTTTAATTACTTTTATTAAATTTGACATTTTGGTAGTTTTGCCCACATATTTTATGCGCCGTGTCTCTGATGAACACTGAGGAAATAGGTGCACAAGGCATTCATCTGGCACCGTGAGCCCTGCCAGGCTTCTAGGCCTGTCCGACCTGGCTGAGCGCTAATTGGCTGTTAATAGAAAGAGCGCCATTTGGGTGCACGGATCTGCCTCTCGACAGAATGTGTGCAGGGATAATATTGTTCCAGGAGCCGTGCCGAGAATAACTTGTGCTCTATTAACGCAGAGGCCCAGATGAGGAGCTGCGGCCTGAGTGCTCCATTATCTCCTGTTCTGATGAGCGGCTTCGGATGCACACACATACACACACACACACAGACACACACACCACACACACACACACACACACACCCACACACACACCACCTCCTCCTCCACTATCAAGCCTCCCGAGGCCGTTTAGCTGGTTAATGTAATTCGCTTTCAAGGGCCCATGTTATCTCTGATCATTACGTCGGAGTCAAGTGTAAATGCGGCAGTATTAAGATCGTGTCTGTCAATAAATGGTGAAACAAAGTGGCTGCAGAGCATACACTAGAGCCAGACTGTGTCTATATGTGTGTTTCTAACAAAACTACAAAATAACACACCAGCAAAGCTCAGCAAACTGATGCCACAAGGCCTTAATATTGTGGCTGGTTTTAAATATCCATTTTCACATTTTCATCATCTTGAAGATTAAAGCCAAATTCTGTGGCCTAGGCTGAACAAAAGTCAATATGTCTAATAAAATGGAACACAGCAAACAAAACATTTGAAGACAGTAAAAAAAAAATATCCCCCCATCCACAACACAGCTGCTCACAAATCTCATCAGAAACGTGGATACTTTTAATGTTCGTTCAATTTGTTTTCACTGTGTGTTTGAATTTTCTGAGTTGTGTTCTTACTACTTTTAACTGAAAATGTCTTCTTTTCAAATGTCCATGTTTTTAAATATATTGCCATGCACCAGTCAGCTAAAACCCACAGCACAACTTTCATCAGTTTTATTTTCAAATGCCAAAAAATGGAAACAACATAGCTCAAACATTCAGTTTTCATTATAACTTATAACTTACTCATTCACATTAACAGTTGTTCATCTGTGAAATACACAACATGGTGATGCATTCCCCGGACAATTCACATTTTAAATATCATTTTTTCCATAACCTATTATTTACAGTTCCATTAAGGAGACAGACAATTGATCCCAGTTTGATGCTTGTAACTGGCAACGCAGGATGAAATTCTGGGCAGAAAAACTACAATATTCCTACAGTATGGGACCAGTGTTAAGTGTGTATTGTTGTGTCTTCATCTCTGGTCTTTATTCCCTACAGTGTCTCTGTTGATAAGAGGATCCTAAAAGTCATCAGATTAGAAAAGTTTTTGTTGAGGGCTCATATCCAATTTTATTGGACTACCCCACCCTCTCCTTGGACTTTTCAGCAGGGCCACAAGAGCCGGACTTGAGTCTTTCTGAGGCCTCACAGTCCCAGGTGGGCTGTTTACTCGGCTCAGCTCTGCAGTTGTCTGGAGGCCTCTGTGGCCGCAGAGAAGACGTTGTCGTGCAGCTTCCGGATGTGTTTCTTCAGGTCAAAGTTGCGGCAGAAGCCCTTGCCGCAGGTGTTGCAGGTGAAGGGCTTCTTGTCATTGTGCGTGTGCATGTGGAAGGTCAGGTTGTAGATCTGGTGGAAGGCCTTGTTGCAGATGGAGCACTTGTACTGCTTCTCTCCGCTGTGCGTCAGCTTGTGGTTCTTGTAGTTTCCTGGAGAATTAAAAAAGGGAAATAATCAGCACATGCATGAGCGGTTGGGATGACTGAATACACGAAGAAATGTATTTGAATGCAACAGTAGCTGCTGTGACAGCCTTGTTATTTGAAGTATTGCTTAATATATTGTTTAACCTATAAAATGTCATTACATGGTAAAAATCTGGAACCTAAAGCCATATGTAGAGCAAAAAAACAAACAAACATCCTAATCAGTCTTTTGGTATTTTTTTTACCACTAATAAAAAAATTCTGTTTCATCAATTCATCTCTAAATCCAACATACTTGTTGCACGTGAACCATGCAACATCAAATTAATCCCGATTAGTAAAGCAAGTAAAACATGTAATTACATTTCCACATAACATGTGAAAAATGACAGAAAAAGGAAAGAATCTTTTCTCTGCAAGAATAAAATGGAATAAATAAAGCGGAATCAGAATTAGAATGAATGAATATTTGCAAAGACCAGCAGCTTCAATGCTCCATCATGGAATTAAAATCACACATTCATCAGAAATGACTTCTTTTTTTTTTGTTGAGATTATTGAAAGAGGCCTCGCACTTCTGCTGGACTTTCTCTTAAAAACCACAATATGTAAGAATAACGGAATGAAATGAGCTCACTGCTGACACATCTCCAGAGGACGGACTTTTTAATGGAGCGTTGAAGAAGACAGTGAGACCCTATGTGCTGTCCACTCGTCTGAGAAAGTGAGGATGAAAGAGGCCTTATTTTCCTCTCTTTTCTTTTCCCCACAAAGGTCAACAGTTCATGGTGAAGTTAGAGCCTCCTCTGTCCCTCTGCTCTGCCCAGCCTTCATTAATCAGGATTTTGTGTGCCGAAGTCAAGAAGTTGTCAAACTTTGTCAAAATCAAGCGCAGCGACGACGAAACAAAAAAAAAAAGGCCCGATTCCCAGCTTGGCCGGGGTCTCGCAGCTGACCCAGAGCAAATGCTGCTTCTTGAAGGGAGAATTAGTCCGTGTAAAGTGACATGTCCTATTTCCACTGATCGCTTCATGCTCATCGACAGGGCCTGTAATTATTTCCTCTTTCATTACACTCACAGACAACTGAGAGCTGCAGCATATGGTGGTGCTTCCAGCCCCCGATCATTTTTACTTCAACACGCGACAAACTCCGAGGATTCCTTCACAGGGATGTTTTCACTTTGTCTCCACAGCACGAGTGAACCCTCACAGAAATATCAGCTGCTTCGAAAAAAAATAAATCCTCGTGCCAAATTAAATACAAGAAATTTACAGCATAACGATCTGTTTTTTTTTTTTTTTTTCCATCTGCACCTCCAGCCAAAGCGTGCAGGAATAAATAGCAATATAACACATCGCATTATAACACTCAACAAATACATGAACTCATTATTTCAAGCAGAGGAAGGGATTTCTAAACTAATGGAAATCATTTTTCAAGAGACAAAAATCAAGTGAAGTGAGATCACTTTCCTCTTCGTTAAGGAAATTGTCTTAAAAATAATTTAAACTGGAATTACACTTTTTTTGGTATATTTTTTAAACATATTCGTTAGTATTAAAAATAAAAATGAGGATCTCTGCAAAGGTGCTGTTTTGTTCTCTCGTCCTAAACATACAGAGTAGGACGCAGCAAAAATAATACAATTCAAACTCGATTGTTTTTGCTTTTTAGAGCAACGGAATATTACAGTTTTAATGAGAATAATTATCTGAACTAATGAGGCAATGGAACTGTGTAATCGTCATGCTGTTGTGAGGGAAACATGAGTGACGGGGACTGTACCTTTCTGGTGGAAGCCTTTCCCGCAGAACTCACACACGAACGGTTTGTAGCCTGCGTGGATCCGTACGTGCGTGTTGAGCGTCGAGCTTCTGTTGAACGCTTTCCCGCACTGGTTGCATTTATGAGGCTTTTCCTTTATTGAACAAATATAATAAAGATACAAGTAAAAAAACTCGTTCGAGTGAAATGAGTTGTGTGAGTTGTGCAGCCGGTAGAAGAGCGATGTGCACCTGAGTGTGGATGATCTTGTGCCTGCACAGCGTGCTGGCCTGTCGGAATCCTTTGCCGCACACTTTGCACACGAAGGGCCGGGCCCCGGTGTGCACCGGCATGTGTCTGGTCAGGTTGTAGTGCGCGTTAAAAACCTGTGGTCAACACAAACCCACCGAGGACATCATTCAGAATTATTGTGACATTTTTTAAGCGACAACATCTCAATTATGCGGGTCACATCATCTCATTTAGATCTGCTATTTTTTCTTTTGAGGGGAAATGTTCGTTTTAAATGCAGAGAGTGTTAGATTCCTTTTTTTTTATTTGATTAAAAAACGTTGAATCAAAATTTGTTCAATCCCTCCCGTGTAAAAACGTTACCTTTCCACACACTTCACACGTGAAGTTTTTGGGTTTTCCGTCTGCGGGGCCGCTGCCGCTCACTTTGCTGTGAGTCTTGACGCCGTTCTTCTCTGCGCTCAGGCCGTGGTTCTCCTTCACTATCTGGTCCAGCTGCCCCGGCAGATGCTCCTTGTGCGGGTACTGAGGTGTGGGCAGTTTGTCGGCCCCTACCCCTGCCAGCTTGGCGTTCTCCAGCAGCAAGAGTCTGTGGTGCGCCGACAGAGAGGCCTGTGCCTGCGGATTGGACACCCAGTGTCCGGCCAGCAGCTCCGACTGCTGGTACGCAGAGTCCAGGTAGTTGAGATAGTAGAGGGAGCCGCCGCTGGGCACGGCCACGGCCTGGTGGACGACCTGCGGCTTCACCACCCGGCTTCCCGACGACAGCAGCGGCTGCTTCAGACTCGGCTCCGCTTTGCAGCACATGCCGCAGTTCCCTTTGCACGGAGCGGCTCCGGTGCCGCAAAAAGTTCCCCTGAAACTGGCTCTCCACAGCTCGGAGTAGTTCATCAGCGCCTTGGCCTGGAGGTCGTAGCTGAAGGGCTGCAGCGGGATCATGCAGGGGATCGGGCAGCAGAGACCGAGCAGCTTCTTCCCCTCTGCCCGCTCCTCCGCACTCCCCTTCGGCTCCGAACTCTTGGACATGATCCGGTCTATGGAGAAGGCCAGCGACTTGGGAGCCGCGGACGGTCCGGTCCTACCGCAGGACATCACCGTTTCCAGCGAGGCAGAACTTGCCATGTTGTTGTTGTTGTTGTTGTTGTTTTCGTGTTGTTTGCAGCAGCGGAGCAGAACTTGGTGTGAGCAACAACTGGTGTAGTCCGAGCCGCTCCTGCAGCTGCCCCGCGTCTTTTCACTCTCCTGAGCTCCCAGCAGAAAAGACAGGAGGACACATCACTTTAATAAGCACCTTGCTGTCACAGTGTCACGCATTTGCATTCAAATGGCCATCCCCCCTGCAACAATAGCATCCAGGGGTGATGGATTAATGCTCATTAACTAGTGCACACAAAATTAACAGGACATTACAGAGCTCGTTAGGGAAGAAGAAGGAGAAGGAGGGAGAAAGACGGAGAGAGATGCAGGGGTGAGGTGGAGAACGAGGGAGCATGAGCCGGAGTTTACCTCTATTGGTCAGATGTGTGTGGAGAAACCTGCTCTCTGTCACATGTTGGCAGCGGCCGCTCCTCCTCTGCACGATCACTGTCTCCTGACATCAGCGGCACCAAACTCCTTCAGTGAGTGACAGGAGGCGACTTATCAACACGCACGTCACAGACACGCGGGCCTGCAGAGGAGGGGCAGTGATTTCTCTGTGACACCTATGTCACCCACCTGCCACTCAATACACGTCTCTCAGGAAAACAGTAGAGAATATTCCAATATTATGCTGATCGTTGTGTATCTTCATCTTTTAACCATCATGTGAGCGCTTCTAGAAAAGTCTTCCACTAACACAGTAACCTTTTCTTTTTCACTTTGGGATTGATTTTTTTTTTTTTTTATTTTGCAGGAGAAAAGCTGCTAATCCTCGGTGATGGGGCTCCCTCCTTTTCCACGCCGGCTTACATACTTACTCAGTGTTGGTATAAATTCGAGGACGTCCAATTTCCACCTGTTTAAGAGCGGAGACTCCCTTTGGATCCTATTAAACGTTGTTCCTCCAATGCCCTCTATTCAAAAGAAGCAATTTTCCAAAGCGATTCAAGGCTCAACTCAGCGCAGGGAGGAGGGAAAAAGGAAAGAAAAAACACAGGCTCTTTCACTTTTAGCCACTAAAGCACTGCGTGAACCTGGTTTTGTGTTTTTTTTTCTTCTCTCCCTGAAATGGAGGGACGGATTAAAGAGGGGAGAGAGAGAGAGAGAGAGGGAACAAGAAAAGACTTAGCTTGGTCAGAGGTATACAAGGACAAGTGAAAGGAGAGGCATTTGCTCTAAAGAGGCATACAACAAGTTTGCTGGAATCCACCGTGTTGTGTGGGAGCTACAATGAGCAGCAGACTCGCCTCTATTCGCCACAAGGGCCGCGTTGAATTCATGTGGTCGCAGGCCATTTTACCTGAGGGAGAGAGAGAGGGGAGACATTCAGCCTGAGGGAGGGTGGGCTGTATGAACACAATTACTTCTGACATTATAGTATTCACTTTCACGTGGCATTTTCAAAATCATTATTTCAAATTCGATGTAGCAGTGAAATTGGGATGAACACGTAGAATAATGTAGAATAATTCTCATGATGTTTTCACTAGTTTATTTCATCTAAATTGTATGAATTGTAGTTTTCTTTACCCCAAAGGCCCTTTATATTTAAATACTTTATATTTACATTGAGGAGACCCTCTCTACGGAGGCTGCCATGTTTTTTACATTAGTCCAGACTGAACAAACTAAACACTTTTGAGTTTTTATGACAATCGAAGGCTACCCCAGGTTCTTTTTCATGTTTGGAGTGAGGTGTGTTCAGCTGCAACATGAAATTTCAACACTAGATATCACTAAATTCTACTCACTGTACCTTTAACACCAAACATTAAGCCTTATGACCCAGACTATTGGATCAATAGAGATACAGCTGGTAATTAGAGAGGTTGCAAATAAGTACATGAAGCAAGGGAACAAAAAAAGTGTGCAAATCCTTTCTACACACATGCAGGCAGCCTTTATAAAGGGTCTTAAAGAGACAACTTTGTTTTACAGTGCAGTTATGAACCATTTTAAAGGAGCATGCCAAATTAAGAACTGATTAATAGACACTTGCTTTATATTTTTAACTAACCCTTAATTCATCAGGGAGGCCCAGTGGGTCATTAGAGAGGAGAAAGGCTTACACATCTGGACCAAAATCCAGCTGCAACTATACAGAATAGTTGTCTTATTAAAGTGATAAACCCTTTATGCAAACATTACAAATGACATTATTAGAAAATAGGGGCTCAACAACTGATGTTTTGCACTCTGGTAACCCCTATAACCATTAAAGTTCTAATCAGAAAGCCAGAATACAAGGTCAAGTCTCTTTACATCGTCAGAGACTGAGGGGAACTTACCGTCCTGTTTGAGCTGCCGCACACTTTACACGCTTCATTATCATCACCACACACCACATTTTTGACTTAATTATTAAAACCTATCTATCAAATCTAAACATTTTACCATGCACAAATTTACCTATAAATCAATTCAATTTTATTCAATTTTATTTGTATCGCGCCAAATCATAATATACATTATCTCAAGGCACTTTACATAGAAGGTCAAGACCTTAAAGGTCATCTGGACATTCAGCTTTACAATCACTAGAATTTCAAAATTGGAATATAAAGGCAATCATTTTAATTAATGTGTGTATTTTAACACAGTTGGCAGCACAACAAGTACAGATGCATTGAATAGTATGTTAGCATAGACATTAGGTTTTGTAGATTTGATTTTATGCACTTAAGAAGAGAGTTATTGAAAAAAGTCTAACTTCACCACTGACCTTCGTGTTTTTTATCACAGAGTTCCTGCTCATCTGAATTGATCCCACTCTACTTCCAGCCGCTGACGGTTCCTGTTACACTGTTGGTGGAGGAAGGTGACGATTTACCTCCAGCTCTATAGACTTAGTGCCATACTTAGCACAGCATGTTGCCGTCCTATAACACTAGATTTCCTATTAATAACCTTAAAAACGTCCCTTGTCTGTTTTGTTTTACACCTGCATCCCAGCATGGAAGGATTAATGCCTGTTGTCTTGGTGCCACTCATATGGAAATGGGGCAGAAATACTCTAATTTGAGTTTATTCAGGCACAATTGCCAGCTCATCCACACAATAAACATTGATCCTATTGCTGTAACCCAGGCTCTTAGCTCCACCAGCAATTAGCTCAGGCATTGATTTAAGGGACTCTTGCCTGCAGGCATGTGAGGGTCTGCGTTCTGTCTGGATGGAGCGAACCCTTTCTTTTAAGTGCCAGCCTTCATTTTTTTCAATCTAACATATTTTTGGAACTGAATTTGGATCCAATGGCAGAAGTTTAGCTTTCAAATTAGAGTTTTTATTGAACCTTTCACCCACAGTCTCCGGGGAGACAGGGAGTTTATTCCTCTCATTGTTTTCCATCTTTCATTATTTGAAAACTTCTTATACTGTCATAGGAAGGCCCAGTATATAAATTAAATGTATATATACACACTTTAATGATCACACTCAACAGTTTATTCTTTATCCTTGGAGTGACACTGAGATTTCTGATGCATGTGCAGCTGTAGTGTAGTGCCTTCATAATATCAAATGGAAAATAGTCTTGAGTTTTTCAACACCTTCCTTGGTATTTTTTATACCTGTAAGAGTTAATGTATCCTGTCTCAACATAAACGACACAACGTAATAAAGGAAAACTTAACACTCCTGTTTCAGCAATGTTGATACAGTGGTATGATTCACCAATGTTTAATGGAGCACATTTTTAATTTTGTGGACTTTTTTCACAACACACCAGTTTAAACCCCCCTATTATATTTATTGACTGATTTCAAAGTTTATGTTTATGTCCCAAACAAAATGATTATTATTTTTGCTTCAGTATGAAATAACTAACTGTACTATAATTAAATGTGTGTCTGTACTTATATATGTATTGTTTTATTTATGTATTTCTTCATTTGTTTTTTATTTCTTTATTTCCACATTCATTTATTTCATTTATTATTTATTTATCAGTCTATTTCTACATTTATTTACACCTGTGTCCTTATTAATTATGTAGGTAGACTTAACTCTGTCTACTATCTCTACACTTCTTGATATATTTCAGTAATTTTACATGTATTTATTTCTGTGTCCATTTATTAGGTAGATGGGCTTACCTGAAATGGTTATAGTACTGTGATCATCAGATCTACTACTTCAGTCTTGAGTTGGACCAGTACACATTGCCTTTAGCACAGCATTAGCTGCTTGCTGCTAAACAAAAGTTGTTGATACTCAGTTGTATGTAATTCTGTACCATGTAACATTATGGAAATTTAGTTTGAGACATTGCAAAAGGAGCAGATCCATGGACGCTCCAGGTGTTCGCTAAAGCAGCTATTTTGTTATGATGACTGGCTATTTTTCTGTGTGACATTGTACAAAAAAATCAATAAATCTTTTAAATTTTAAATCTTATTGATCATGCTGTGGTCCCATCAGACTTTATTAAACTTTATTGGTATCAAACTCAAAGCTGTGATTCTGTGGCAGCACAAGTGTAAGTGCTGATGTCGTGTCCAGCAGTCTGTCTGTCTGTCTGCTTACTTCCTTCCTCTGCCCTGAAAGAGGAAGAAAAGTTTCTGGCAAGGATGCCAACAAAGAGGAAAACCTGGTGTGTCAAGGCGATGTGGTATGTTTGTGCTGGGAACAGCAGAACTGACTGCTTGACTGGATTTCTGCGTGAGTCTTTTTGGCAGCCTGGGCTTCCGTCCTGAAGCACTGTGGAGGTTTTTTTTCAGCCTGTCATGTGTCACCTGGCCTCCCGAACACCAACCCCACCCACCAGCCCCTCACTGCCATGTGGCCTGTCACTGCCTGGCCTCTGGCACTGCACGCAATCACTTTGCCTTTGATGCTTTCTGCCAGAAAACCTTTGCATGTGGTTCATGTTGAGGAAGCGTCTGTTTTAACACAAACTACAGCCTTTTCTAAACTTTAACAACTAGATTTGTTTCCATAGCTTAAATATTTGGCCAGTAATGCCCTTTGACTCCCAACAGCCTTTGATATTGGACATCTGCTGATACTGAGTCCAGTCCCATTCTCAACACATCTGCACACACAGTTAAAATAGCAGAAGATATGCATTATGTATGTGACACATTGAAATAACAGATGCTTGTGTAACTATCGCACATTAATTAAAATGCTTAAGGTGCTGTTCAAAATGTTTACACTGAAAAGCTGCATAAGATATGAATGGCAGTCAAAGTGGGTGAATTTGAAATGAAGAGATGTGTGAGAGTTTTTTGAGCAACGCTCTGCATTACCTCTGAGGTATATCATTCATGCTGCTGTTGGCTCGTACCTTTGCCGTTTGTGAAAATGGCTAAAATTGAGCCTTTAACTCAAGGATTCAAATGCTGAGTTATCTTCCTCCTGAAAAAAGTAGCGGCACAATGACCTCACTTTACAAAAATGTCCAAACACACACACTTGTGACATCCTGTGTGTGTGAGAGTGTATTTTCACCAGAATCTCTTTTCTTTCGCTCAGTGTGGCACTGTCAAGTTAACAGACGCTGGTTCAATAAAGCAACCACTTGAGCAACCTGCCCCTCTGTTCACTTGAGTCTTTCACCCCCCCCCCCCCACCTCAACATTCTCCCCATGGGCCACTTTTACGCTCCAGTCCCTTTTTACTCTCCTCTGCACACACTTGTTTTTCATGACCCCCTGTCTTCCTAGTGGACGATCCCAGGCCATTCAATGCCAAGATTTGAGTTTGCATTTGAAAACATGGAGATTAGTTTTTCCCTGTGAACATCTCATTTAATTGGCAATGGAGGTTGCATTTAGGAGATGCTGCTCCCACTTATTGTAAGACCTAACTGCAGACCTCCAGAGATCACGAGGGACAGGTGGTGGAGCTGTTGTAGGTGAGCACTATGACTGTCCATTGTATGACTCAGTGTCAACTATTAAAAGTTAATTTAATGTCTTGGGACATGTAGCATGTTAACCCTGTTGTAATAATGTAAAACTGCAGCACTGCTCTTAGCCATAATTAAAGAAACATGCTCAGTGTATGGCTGTGGCTCAGGGGATAAAGCGGGTCGTCCTCTAAGCAGAAGGTCGGCAGTTTGATCCCAGTCTTCCCCACTCCACATGCCGAAGTGTCGTGGCATCTCTAATTGAAGTTGTCATACAACAGGCAGACTCTCTGGCGCAATCATCATCCTCTCTGATGGGGGTGGGATATGGAGTGCACACTGCCTGAGCTGCTACCCAGGTAGGAGCACAGGGTCCTTTCTGCTGAATTCTATGTTTGGGTAGCTCTCTTCAGGTATGAATTTCATTAGAGGATGAATTTACATGCATTTTTCAATGTGTTAAACAGGTAATCAGGTAAAAGGCAGGTGGAGGAGGACAAACACAGACATGACCCACCCTACCCTACCTCTGATTGGCTTCCCCTGATATTCTTAATCTAATTTACCAATCACCACTCAATCAACCAACCAGCCCCAACCAAAGGCAACGACTACCAACCAATCAGGGGGAGAGTAGGCTTTCACTGACCTTGGAAAAAATTGGCTGAGAGCATGTTACTGTATGATGCGCACCACAGGTGATTTAGAGTAATGCTATGCTGGTTGAAAAATAAGTGGGTATAAATGGTCTATATTTATATAGAGCTTTTCTAGTCCTGATGACCACTCAAAGAACTTTGTACGGTTTGCCATTTGCACAGCAGTTTTTTTTCCTATGAGGGGTTTAGCATCTTGCCCAAGGACACTTCAGCAGGCAGATGGGGAAGACTGGGATTTAACTGCCGACCTTCTGGTTGGAGAATGACCGCTCAGCCACAGCTGTATACCTTCGTGTACCCTACACTACACTACTGCCGCTAATTGTGTGAAGAGGCAGACCTGAACATTATTTCTGAGAAGGCAGAATGAGTTTCAAAGTGTGCTCTGGTTTACATTCGCTGTCACTTTATTTGTATTCAGCTAAGAAAGTAAACCTGAAATTAGAATAATTAAGGAAAATAGAAGTGGTTGTTTCCTCTGCACTGCTGCCACAGTTAAAACATAGAATGACTCAACTTCCTTTAACAACACAACAGTTTTTGGTGTGCTACCATCTTATGCCACTATGTTACAGCACACCTTGACATCATTTTGTTAGTCATAAGGGTCTCTGAGAAGTCACTTGGAACTGTTTGGCCACAAGAGAATTTCATGCAAAGGGCATCTTGTTGTTTATGACTGTGGCCCTTTTTTTTATCTTATTTCTGCATCAGTGAATGACTGAAGTAGTCCTACATGATTTATTCGGATTTATTCAATTTTTATAGACAACACAGGTGTGTGTGTGTGTGTGTGTGTGTGTGTGTGNTTATTTTTTGGACCAGGATGATCTGTCTTTGTTTCACTACATTCACCTGATGAAACCATGTTTAAACTCATTTGACCCAGATTTTGTGTGGGGGGCAGCCTCTGGCTCTGCAGTGTTTCATTTGAAGACAGTCCTCCCTCACAAGTCCTTGGGCAGTGATGAGGGTGAGAGGAAGTCCTCTGAACACCAGAGCACATACAGTCCAGAAGCAGTCACAAAATAAATTGCTGCGGCCACAGGCTCTTGCTGCAAAGACATACGTGGTGCAGCAATGAAGGCCCAATCGTATATGGCAGAGAATATGCAGATTATGCTTTCCTGTCCAAGTTCATTCAAATCCCTCTAATCTCAAAGGTCCATTGACAGGACCAGCCCAGGCCTTTTTGGAACCCTTAAAAGTATTCTATGTAAAGGTATTACAGTACAGTCACAATGTAGCTTGGTAATAGTGTCATAGATTATATTAAATGGCAAGGTACATAACACTGATTCAGCTTCACCTCTTGGTAAGCAGTGAAACTTAACCAATAAAGAATGTATGACAATATAATATCAATACGGTTAGAAAAGTCACTGTATTGATACTATATTGAGATGCACATTTCCACGTTCAAAGCAAAATGCATTTTTAAAGTATGTGTAATTAAAAAAAGATGATTGATAAGAATAGACTCAACAAAAGTGCAAATCTTACATTAATACTTTTCCAGTATTTTCCAAAAAATGTACATGGAAGAGAACGTAGAAGACAAAATTGTTGCAAACTGATTTGTTTCCCTTTCCCATTGATACGTTTAGCAGTTCCAGTTGAAGTTTGGGTGAAAACAACCTTTGTATGCGGAAAATATCTGGTCAAAAGAGATGTGCACAATCAAATGTGCCAGCAGGGGGGAGGATTAACTCCTGACATCCATCTAATAATAACAGTGGCCTCAGCAGTCCCACTTTAAGACTGTGATACTGTTGATCCCCATATGGGCTTTTACTGTATACGACCATGAAACAGGACAAACAGTCCTGTGTAATATTCATCCCTGAGGTATCACAATCTGCCTGCATGTCTTGCCTGAACATTGTGCGAGATTGCTTTAAACTGTAAGCCATTCTTTTCATGGAAAAGATCTAAAATTAATCAGCAGGCTTGTTGTCCCCTCTTAAGGCCACGATAAGAAGGTTTTGGTGCATGGAGAGGCGAAACATAAGAGGCTTTGGGGGGCGCTTTTAATAAAAGGATCTGACATCTACCTGCCCTCTCAAATGGCAGGCAATTTTGACACTTCTGGCACGCAAAGCAGCCACATAAAAATAAGCACGTCTCCTGGGCATCTAGGCCTACTCTGTTTATGTTAAAGGACACGGTGGAAAGCATTGTAAATGAAATGCCTCTTAACAACAGATCACAGAACGATTTATTTGGCAGCTTGAATGTCCACACATCGGCTGATTTCCATCTTCATCTTTTCATTTTCCTGTCATTATCCACACGTATCATGCCGGAGATGGTTTGATGGACTCAATGTGTCGGAACGGCTTGTTCTCACATCCGCATTAGCACACGACTCCCCACAGTACAGCAGTGGCCTGTCAGCGCACAGACTCAAGAACAGTTCTCACTGTAATGGTCAATTGGAGATTTTTTTTATTTTGATACTGTTGTCATTTCCCCATTCCCCACTTGATTGGAGCTTAAAACCAAAGAAGCTCAGATCGTGCCGGCATAAAACTCCAGGCACATTAATCCATCCTGGTGTTGCCTCTCGCACAGAACTGCCCAACCGTGTCAGGATATTCATGGGGAAATTAAATAAATGACATTCAGAGGGAGCTCTGCATATTGAATTTTAAAATAGGTGTTCTGCGTTGTGTATTTGATGTTGATTATTCTCATATGTATAGGATATGAGGGAATAGCTTCTGGAGAGACAATTAAGGTCAGGAGCATGAGTTCTTTGTTGCATTAACTCAAACAGCTCGTTCTCCTTCCTACTCTGCTTCAGACCTTACACCAGCATTTATTTCTGTGCATGAATTACTGGGTATGAGAAATGTGATATTGACTGACACATACTGAAAAATGACAGGAAAATAGAGGAATCAGCCTTTGAATTGCAAGTTTCATTTCAAATAGATTTGTTTAACACGTTCATGAAAACAAATGTCTTAATAATAATAATACAAATCATTATTATTATTCTAAAGATTATCTTAAGTAACACAAAGCAAAGGGACACTCTCTAAATTACTGTTCTGGCATTAGCCTCCTAGCTGTGACCATTATGAATGTGTATTAAAAACCCATTTTTTTGCTGCAAGCTTCAGTATCATCCCGGGAGAAAGTAGGATTTTCATTTGCAGTTTACTCTCATCCAAAATCTTGTTTTTCTTTGTTCTCCAAGGGGGGATTTGCACCCCCCACCCCACATCTATGAAATAATTAAAAGATATCCTGTCTTCTTTTAATTTGGGACTATATTATATGTAATCCTCTCGACTTTTGGTCTTAGTTTCCATCTTGGCCTCTTAAATTGATTTTGGTCATTGTTGATTTGATCTCTGGCAATTCTTTCAATCTCCTTCTGGACAGTAATATCAACTCTCAAGATGCCTGATGCTTTAATCCAGTGCATTAATCTCAGACTCCCTGTCTTAAGGAAATGCTGCAGTGGGGGAGGGGAGGTCAATGGCACGGATGAATAAATATGTATTTGTTTTGCTGTTTGCTGAAACAGCATCCCTGTGCAGTCCAAGCGGTTAGCTCTTTGAACAAAATCACACAAATAACTGCCAAGTATCGAACAAATCTGTGGTTTAAGTAGATTTCTCTCTCAAATTAACAATGATAAGTCATTTCACAAATTAATAAGGTGACAAGCTCTTTCCACATTTGACATTTACCTTTATTTTTATCTTCTTGGCATCAGTGGGTTCTCCTACAAGGCAGAAGCACGATGAACCCACTGGTAACTTCAAACATGGAGCAAAACACTTTGGGGAGTGAATATTGGGGACATGCAGTACTCGCATACAGGACAACATATAGGAGCACAGTATAGAACATGGCTGACAGAGGGAAAGTACAGGCAAACTTCACTTCCCATCATCCATTATAAAAATGTGGATTAGCCCCATTATCCATCCTGAAATGAAGTAAAGGGCACTAACAGGAACATGAATAATAGATTAAACAATATTTTTTTATACAAACTATACTTGAAAGTTTGATTCAAAACAACAAATGTGAAATTAATTGAAAACAGCTCTATTGTTGTGAAAAAAACAAACTATATGTGTATTGCCTTGCTATTGCATCTACTCACCAAAAAAAGAAAGTGACAAGAGATGTCGATGTGGAAATCAAAGTAACATTTAAAAAGTGAGACCACAGGCAGTAAAGTGTCTTCTTCAACAACAGGACAAAGCTCGTGTTGTCACTATTTATCTGGAGGCAGTTTGACACAATTCTAAAATTAGTGACGCTGTATCACTTTATTTGTAAAGGATCGATCCAGCTCACTCGCTCTAAATGGAAGAATTTCAATCAAACATCCTGTCAACTTCTCTGCACAAAACACACACAGTACCATCCCGCTACATATTTTACACATTTTTGAAACCTTTTGATGAATTTGTGCCCTCGTTTTTTTGTGGCACAATTTCATATCACATGCATAAAGTCTTTGTGTGCTTATACAGGTTGATAAAATGAACATGTGTGTCTTGTGGCTCTTGTGCAAGGTTCAAACTGATTTCACCGACTTAATGTAGATTCATTTGAACTTACTGACTTTTAGGTTCATGACACTAATGTTAATCAAAATTCAAAATGGAGGTTTTGCCTTCGCTAATGCCATTATCTGATTAGTTGGCGGCTACGGCTTGTTCACTAACCATAATGTTGGTTGTTTGATCACCGCATCATCCATTGCGGGTGCCTCGGTGTCCCTATGCAAGATATTGAAACCCAAATTGCTCCCTATTGCTGTATTAGTAGTGTGTGAGTACTGTGTGATAGAGAAAGTGCAGCACATAGATGCACTGTATATGGACAAACAGGTGAATGACACAACTGTGCTGTACATGGCTTTGAGTGGAAAAGCACTATGAATAGTTACCATTTATAATTAATCTTTTATCCATCTGTCCAACACTTAAGATATTTAAACAGCTATTTTCTCTGAAACCTGCTGTGGATATCCCTGCTCTCCAGAGGATGATTCCTTTTTGTCTTCATTGCGTTCGTTTCTTTTCCTAAGTAAAACACACAGATTTTAGACCATTAGGTTCTAACAAATGCTGAAATCCTCATTTTGTCATTTTTCCCGTCCACTGCTTTCATTTGGTAGGACATAATAAATACTGCCGGGCTGCTAGCCATTTTGATTTGTGGAGCCCCCCCCCCCTCCATAAACTTCAGTCACTAGATAAAGACTAACAGAATAGAACAACAGAAATCAAATCATATATTCCTATACATATGTCATTTTATTATTATTATTATTGTTATTGTTGTTGTGCAGTAAACAAGGATGGAATGTAACTAAGAACATTTACTCAATTAATCTGTATTCAAATATGATGGACTACTTTCATTACATTTCATTTTATGGAAAGGAATTCAAATTTCAAATTTCATTTCATTTCATTTACTACGCATTACCAGATCTCAGAGGCAAATATTCAATATTCTTTTCACTTGACTATTATTTTCAATCTTAGGATTGTTGCTAGTCACTTAATAAATTAAGATTTCTGCATACAAAACATATTAAGAGTAATACGGGTAATTTTACTGAACTTAGTATCACCATATTATGCAGAAATAAGCTCTTCACTTAGTGGCCACTCTGGCCATTTAACCAGTTAATCTCAGTCAGCCAATATTTCCTAGAGTGCTACCTGTAGTTTAAATGCCACTGCACTAAATCTTTAATATCATCGCTGGCATGAAAAACCTCATGTGCTCAACACATCCTTGCAGTATTCTCCGAAACTCTAGAGGGTGTGCACGCCCACACACAAAACATTCTCTGAAGAAGTATGAAGAGGTCATCTGTGTTTGACATCACTTCACAAACCAACACGAGCACAGCCCACTGTTGCCCTAGGTTACAGCGTCTCACATCAGAGGAGCAGCTGATCTGTGTATGGCTGTTTAAAGGGAAGAGTCCACCGTATGTCTGTGTCCTGTATGAGGAGCTACTGCATCACAAGGAACAGTTCGTACAGCAGCTCGGTCAGTTTGCAACAGAGACTGGACTTTGACAGTGTGCAAGCAGTGAGGGCTGTACACTGAGGTGCCCCCTATAGGCACTTGGTGCCCTACACACAGTGCAACTCTGAATGCAGCCCATTGGCTGCTATCAGTTTCTTAGTACTGGCAACTGAAATAGTACAAGGTGAATTCTTGTCTACCTGTAAAGGGAGAGTGTAAGCCTAAACTGTAGCTACTCTATACCAGTGACTATATGTAACAATGGACAAGATGACAGCTCCTTAAAGTGAGGCCAAAACATCTTGATCACTCCCTTGTTGCTGACTGCTGTTCAGTTCATAAAACCCACCCCCTCCATGTTAGCAGACGGGACATGTAACAGGCTAAAAAAGTCAATGTCCATTGCAAATACAATTTTCCAAAATTTCGTTTCTGTTCTGTTTGGTTTTAATTAGTTATTTGCTTTTTTATAAAGAGTGACAGGTGATAATGAATTGTGATTGGTCGGGTGGGTGTTTGGGTGGGACCTTGATCACAGTGGATTGCTATCTGATCCAGAGTCAGACCAGTGAATCATGATCAGAAGACTACAGACCAGTGACATAAAGCAAGGCTAGTTGTTAACTTTGGTGCAGATTGAATGCACAGTCAAATGCTGCTTGAGTGCTTCCATGAAGTCAAGTCAAGGTAAGTAAAAGTAATGTGAGCAAGCTAAATCAGGTAAAGACTTCCAAGTCTCTTTTTGCCTAGTTTCTGTAACAAGCACACACATGCTTTTACTGGTGATGTCTGCACAAGTTCTTAGTTCTTAGTACTGTATGTTTCATTCGTTTCGAGAGATTTACCCAATAGGTTAAAGAATATCAGCACAGAGTTTAAACTGATCCACCACTATTCAGTAACATTTCAGTGTTCAATGCATAAACAGTGGGACATAAGAGGCTTCCAGCTTGAATTTTGTTTGTGTTAACCATTCTGATAATACTGACTGACTGGCATGGTTCAGCCAACAGACAACTACTGACAAACTGTCATCACCAACCATGTTTAAAGGGCAGCAGTAATTGTTTGGTTCACTGGGAGTAATACTCCCAAGAAAGCCATGTACCAAAGTGAACCACATATGATGCTGTCAGGCCAACAAGGGAAAACAATGTGATGCTATATGAACATTTGAAAGCTGAATGTTTTTGTAGTTTTTGTCCATTTTGTTATTTTTGCATCAGTCAGCTTGTTGATAATGAACTTGATTTTTGGGGAGGGGGGATTTCAGGTGTTGCTTGTTATGAAAGGTTGGTTAAGAACAGACGAAAAGTTGTTTTCACATATTAAAGCAGGTCATGAAAATATAAGGATTACGTGGTTGAGAAATGATGCACCCCCATTACAAGGACAGTAATATGAGACTATTTTTTCCATCCTTTTCAACAATGCGACATACAGTAGCTGCACTCTCTGCACACATTTCTAGACTTGTTCATAAACCTGGGAACAAAATTGGCATCAATATTGCTTGAGAACATCCACAAGAAATTTTGAAAAAACAGATTAATTGAATGTTTTAGTTTTAACCCTGTTGTTTGGAGGGGATGTTCATGTGAAACCAAAAGCTCTAGGACAACTCGGATCGATCACAATATGACTTCAACAGTGATGAGCTGATCATGCACTTATAAGCAAGCTTAAAAAAAACAGACATTTTCATCAGTTTCACAATTTCACTTGGAACCACAGTACAGTGGTCTGTACTCTTCAGAATGTGACAGAGAATTCTTAACAAAACCAACAAAGCTCCCATACAAAGACCGTAGACATTTTGGGTTGCACAACATGAAAATATGATGTAATATTTTTTAGGAAAAAAACTTAATGTAGATGCAATCACCTGCTTTTTTAAAATAATTTTATGTATGAAGCTGCTAGTCACTCTACTGTTTTTGCCACTTTTGAATAATTCTCAAAACTTTGCTTACATTTTCCTCAAAACCGATCAGTGTTTGATTGATGTTCTTGGCTGTTATGACTTTTACTTATGAATTTAATGCCTGACTTGCAATGATTAGACAGACTAAGCTCCTCCAAGTGTTTAAAGACACAAAGTGTTTTCTAGTATTGATTGTAAAAATCATCCCAACTATTAAAAGTATGACAAACTGAAAAAGCAAATAATGGAAGGACCAAGTTGGCTGTTAGGTCAAATTTGACCTAATGGAAAGGCTGCATGGGTTCTCACCACTCACCCTGTGAAAAACTACATTCCTGATGTTTACAGGCCTTTAGATCTAGTTACCGTTGTCCTCTTCATCACTATCCCTCATGGAAATGCCTTGCATCCCTCCTTCCCTCACTGAGGCAGTGGCTTCTTCCAGGGTCAGTCGGTTTCTCACTGTTTCATACATCTTACTGTTTAATGTGGAGTCCAGCACTCCTTGAAGGCGGAAGTCACGGTACTTTTTCTATCACAAAAAAAAGAATCACAAGTGTTTAGGAAAGGAATTCAAAAACGGGGTTTGTGAAAACATTGTGTTCTTCCGTTGTGATCGCTGCTGTGTGGACTGTTGATTGTGGAGTGTGAATCGTGGTGGCAGTTGATAATGGGTTAATGGGAAAGGGATCCTTCACTTGCGACTCTCTCTGTGGTTTCTATGTTTTATACTTGCTAAAAGTTTTTTGGGGAGAAGTTTTTCCTTACCCTTAAAGGTCCAGTGTGTAAGATTTAGGTGAAAGTGAACTATTGGCAGAAATTTAAT